TGAGGAGTGCGAAGCAAATGAGCCTCAAGCGCTGGGGCTTGATGAGATCTCATCCAGGGCTGACACAAGCTCTTCAGCGTTACAGACGTCTCTGGATTCGTCAGGCCATGTCAGGGTAACAAAGGTTAAGACAAAGGGCCGTCTTCCTGAGGACACAGAGTCCCTCCGTAAAGCTTTGAAGTTGGAAGCAGTCAGCTGGCTTTGCATGTCAGCAAAGTTTCGAAACAAAACATGGCTTCACGGTCTGGAGTTACAGCACTGGTCGAAATACACAGAGTACTTGCTGGGTGAAAAGGTTTTGGGATTGAAGTTCAACGTGGAAGGCCAATCACATGCAGTGAAGCCGCCTTGGGCTGTCATTCTCAGCTATGAGCAGAAGATGCGGAAAGAGGTGTTCAAGCTTGTCCAGGCAGGCACACACACAGTTGCGGAAGGCCTGACTGCCGTCATCAAAGACGCGGAGATCAAGGAGGCGCATTTCACAGCGCCGATTGCCCTTGGTGTTGGATGGAACAATCAGCGACCATCAGTTCAGCCCAACAAATGGCAGCGCACAGGCTTCAAAGGGAAATCCAGTTTCAAAGGAGCACCATCGAAAGGTGGCAAAGGCAAAGGTAAGTCCAGCAAGGGCTCCAGGGACTTCAATGGCAATAGTCTGGTAACACACACACCAGACGGCAGAGAACTATGCTTTGCGTTCAACGCCCAAGGGTGTTCAGGAAAGTGTGGAAGAGTCCATGCTTGCAGGATCAGAGGATGTTATGGCAAGCATTCGGCACGGGAACACCATAAGTACTCCAACAACAAACCTTCGCAACAAGGAGGCGATGACAAGAGCAAGGTTGGCGATGAGTGACAGGCAGAACGTGGGGCTTCAAAGGAGGGTCATGGATCTGTCAAGCAGACCTTGAGGGTTCTCTATTTGTTTGCAGGAGCCCCACGTCGAGCAGATATCAATTCCTTTTTGCATGGATACTCCCAGGCGCAGAATTTTACCCTGCATGTCCGCGAAGTGGACATTGAACGCTCTGAGTCTGATGACCTCAGCCGTGATCAGCTTTGGGAGGAGATTTTTACAGAGATCAGAGACGGCAAATATGATGTGTTGATTATGTCACCTCCTTGTGGGACATGGTCGCGAGTTCGATTCCAGTGGCAACTTCATCCAGGTCCCCGACCACAGCGCAACAAGTCTTGGCCATGGGGTTTTCCATGGCTGTCCGCAGCACAGCGTAAGAAAGTTGATTTGGCAAATTATTTTGTTTCTCAAACCATACGCGCAGCACACCTTGCTTTTGAAGTTGGGGCCTTCTTTTTGATTGAGCACCCGGAGGACCTAGGCACAGTCAATGGCGAGGTGCCAGCATCCATTTGGCAGCTGGATGAGATGCGTGACCTGCAGATCATAACCAATGCAACAACCTGGGCGATCTTTCAATGCGGGTATGGAGCTGACACTAGCAAGCCTACAAGGTTTCTTTCCTCAATACCAGGCATCAAAGCAAGGTTTTCCAAATGGCCAGCCTTCGATGAGCAGGGCAAATATGTGGGGCCATTGCCTGCTAGGTGCACCCACACGCGCCATGTCCGGCGTCTTATTGGCAAGGACTCTCAGGGGCGCTGGGTCACAGGACCCGCCGCCTCATATCCACCTGGCTTGTGCAAATACTTGGCCAACCTCGTGGTCTCCGTCCTTCGGAAAGGGGGCACCCACGAGGTAACAAAAGTGGTTGAGAATACAGCTTCAACTGCAGCTTCGAAGGTGGTTGACCCACCAACCCATGAGGTAACAAAAGTGGCTGAGAATGCAGCTTCAGCTGCAGCTTCGAAGGTGGTTGACCCACCAACCAGTCTTGTGCGGCCCATGGAGGTAGACAAGTGCGGAGGCGACCCAAAGCATGCTGATGGTGTTTTCAATCGGTTGGTGCATGAGAAGCCGGCGGCACAGACCAGTGGGCATACAAAGTTGACGGAGGTTCAACACACCTTTTCAGACTCCAACTGGGGTAGGCCTATGATGGTTGAATGGTCTGGCGAAGAAAGGGAGATCACTGACGGTTTTGGCTTGTGCTCACCTAACAGGTGGGCTCCGGATTGCAGAGGAGTTGGGCAAAGCGCTCAAGCGCGTGACATCAATGACCGTTTCCATGACTTGCTGAAGGGTTTTGTTCATGAACAATTGGGAGACCTCCGCATGATGGCGTTCAAGCTTGCTACAGGGAAGCTGGCCGAGTCACCGTTTTGCAAGGAGGCACTTGACAGGCTCAGAAAACGCTGGGCCGCCCTTTTACCTGCTCCCAGTGGTGCGCTGCAGAAGGCAGAAGGCCAGCCCTTCCTGTTAGACCTCATGGCTCAGACTTTGAAGATCCAAGGCGACCCTGACTTTGAAATATTGGTGGCCTCAAAGGACTCCTTCGCGACGGGCGTCCCTGTAGGGTATGAAGAGCCCATACCCCCTGCTCCTGCAGTTTTCCGCACCAGGACGAAACAGAGCAACCTGGATGCTTCTGAGTACATGGAAGAGGCACGTAACTATAAGTCTGCAGTCGAAAATCAAGAAGGCCTTGAGAACAAATTTAGGGAGGACGAGGCTCAGGGCATGATGTATCCCACCACCATGGGGGTCTTGAGGGAACGCTATCCTGGTAAACCTATTCTTGTAGCTGCCATGGGAGCCATCAAGAAGCCGGACGGGAGTGTTAGGCCCATACATGATGGAACACACTTCGTCCAGGTTAACAATGGGATACAGTTTATAGACAAGCTGGACTACCCTGGGCCGCCGGATGTTGCTGGGGCTGTTCGAGCTGCAAGGGACACACAGGACTCCTTCTTCACTGTTTCGGCCGACATAAAGGCGGCCCACAGGTTGGTCAAGATCCGCGAGAGCGACTGGAGACTTTTGGTTTGCAAGGCCAATTCAGATTCAGAAGTTTGCTGGGTCAACAAAGTGGGTACTTTTGGGGTGTCCAGTGCGCCCTATTGGTGGAGCAGATTGTTTGGCCTGGCTGGGCGGCTTGTCGCAAGGGTCCTTTTGAATAGATGGGTCGTACAGCTCGTGTACGTTGACGACCTCCATGTTGTTTGCGTTGGTGAGGAGAAGTTTGAGACCCTGTGGATGGCAATAGCGGCATATGAGGCCTTAGGCACCCCTTTTGGTTACAAGAAATTTTCAGGTGGCTTGGATGTCCAGTTCGTGGGGTATCGTGTTGACTATATGAACATTTCAGTGGGCATCAGCGAGGCACGTGGGCAGTGGTTGCTCACCTTCTTGCGGGAGCTGAGAAGAGATGGTTACACTGTCCATGTCCATCGATTTGCAGAATTTCTTGGTAGGCTTGGCTTTACGTGCCGGGTGTTGCTCTGGTTGAAGCCGCACTTGGCTCCCCTTTACTCATGGGCTTCAGCTGTCAGCAAGAGTACAGTCGCTACAGCGCCTAAGCTGGTCAGGCTTGTTTGCATGTTCTTGGAAAAGCAGTTTGAGGAACAGAAGTTCATGTTTTCTTGCTTGAAACCGCAACGGCTGACAAATGAAGTATTCAGGACGGATGCGAAGTGCGAAAACAACCTTGTGGTGTTAGCTGGTTATCATTTCCCTGATGGCAAGTGGTTCTCTGTGCGTGTCACGCCCCGTGATGCGCCTTACCTCTTCAAGGAGAATGGGGATAGTGAGTGGGCGTCGGCACCTGCAGAACTTCTTTCAGTTTTAGTTGCGCTTCAGCTCTTTGGCTACTTAGAGCCCAAGTCGGGAAGAACATGCATCCGGCTGTGGGTGCAGAGCGGAACTGACAACCGCTCTATTGACTTCCTGTCCAGGAAGAATTCGACTACACGCTGGCCCCTCACATTAGTTAACATGCAACTGTCGCACTGCTTGATGAGGGCCGGTGTCAGAATCAGCTTAGCTTGGAGGCCGAGGGATCAGAACACTTTGGCCGATGACCTGACGAATTCCAGGTTTGGCGATGTCGATTTGAACAAGAGGATTGATGTCGCGCTTTCAGATTTAGATCTTTCCTTGCTTTTGGACCTGTGGGAAGCGAGGCATGAATTCTTGGACCGCGACTCTTGGGCGGTGTATGGAAAAGGGAGAGACAAATTTGAGAAATCAGCTTGGGGTTGACTTGCAACCCGATTCAGTTTCAGTTTCAGTTGTGCAGCCTCGTTGCTTTGCAAAAGGGGGGAGCTTTGCCCTCGGCTGTGTTGAGAAAACCAAACGGATGGAAAGCGATTTGGATGAATGTCCGCTGATTGGACTTGAGACCTTGTTTCAGTGCCGTCTACCACCGATAAAAAGGCGTGTGACAGCAATCCACTTTCAGTGATCTTGGTTTTGTTTTCTGCATGTGCACTCGAATTTCAGTTGTGGCTTGTGATGTCAGTTTCGTTTTCACGTTGTTTCAGTTTTATGTTTTCCTCGAACATGGCGATGCGCGCGTTTGTTTTAGTTCTGTTTCAGTTTTAGTTTCTTTGCGCACCGCGCCTCCTGCCTTACCCCAACGTTGTAGAACAGGACAGTTTGGGTTACCAAAGTGACTGTTTGGAAGCGTTGGGTTTTGGGGTGGGTGGCTGGGGCGCTGTTGTTGGCCGTCGCCTTTCGCGCTGCCACGTTTCTTCCTCTCTCTGCTCCTGCTCCCGCGGCGATGTTAAGGAAGGGTGTTGATGATTGCTTCCGCGTTGCGAGCGACATGTTCGTTTAGTTTCAGTCTGGTTTATTTTGTTGCCTTGAGTTGCTGCCTGTTTAACCTCTTTGTTACTGCCTCAGTTTCAGTTTCAGTTGTGCATGCCTGTGAAGGTTTTGTTTATGGTTGTCAGTGTTAGGGTTTAGTTCGTTTGAAGTTAATGTTTACTGATTTATGAAACCCCAGGGTTCGAATTATTTATACCTTTTCTTGCAGTTTTAGCTGTTCAATTTTTTAGTCCACACCCTCCCACCCTGGTATTGGGTGTTCAATTTCCTTTCCATACGTCTTTATGATGCAACAGCGCAATCCCTTGAGACTGGCATGGGATGCTGACCGTTTTGACTATGTCAGCATTCAAATTTTCTTTTTGGTTACGTGGAACTTATGGGACCATACTGGGCCATCACGTTTTGCCAACGTGCTTTGCTTCTCATTCCTGGATGACCGTGATTTACAGACTGTATGCTGCACTTGCTATGGCATTTACATTGATCGGGATGACATCTACCTTCGGCTTGACGAGTATAATCGCTCAGAGGCGCTTTGTGGCACTCACTGATCACCGGGCTTTTCTGCTTGTCCATTGGACTCCTTCTGGAACTGGCCTTTCATTCTCCTTCATTTCATGTTTTGCAACGGATGCAATCAACGGCACTGGACTTGGAACGGGGGGAGCTTTGCCCTCGGCTGTGTTGAGAAAACCAAACGGATGGAAAGCGATTTGGATGAATGTCCGCTGATTGGACTTGAGACCTTGTTTCAGTGCCGTCTACCACCGATAAAAAAGCGTGTGACAGCAATCCACTTTCAGTGATCTTGGTTTTGTTTTCCGCATGTGCACTCGAATTTCAGTTGTGGCTTGTGATGTCAGTTTCGTTTTCACGTTGTTTCAGTTTTATGTTTTCCTCGAACATGGCGATGCGCGCGTTTGTTTTAGTTCTGTTTCAGTTTTAGTTTCTTTGCGCACCGCGCCTCCTGCCTTACCCCAACGTTGTAGAACAGGACAGTTTGGGTTACCAAAGTGACTGTTTGGAAGCGTTGGGTTTTGGGGTGGGTGGCTGGGGCGCTGTTGTTGGCCGTCGCCTTTCGCGCTGCCACGTTTCTTCCTCTCTCTGCTCCTGCTCCCGCGGCGATGTTAAGGAAGGGTGTTGATGATTGCTTCCGCGTTGCGAGCGACATGTTCGTTTAGTTTCAGTCTGGTTTATTTTGTTGCCTTGAGTTGTTGCCTGTTTAACCTCTTTGTTACTGCCTCAGTTTCAGTTTCAGTTGTGCATGCCTGTGAAGGTTTTGTTTATGGTTGTCAGTGTTAGGGTTTAGTTCGTTTGAAGTTAATGTTTACTGATTTATGAAACCCCAGGGTTCGAATTATTTATACCTTTTCTTGCAGTTTTAGCTGTTCAATTTTTTAGTCCACACCCTCCCACCCTGGTATTGGGTGTTCAATTTCCTTTCCATACGTCTTTATGATGCAACAGCGCAATCCCTTGAGACTGGCATGGGATGCTGACCGTTTTGACTATGTCAGCATTCAAATTTTCTTTTTGGTTACGTGGAACTTATGGGACCATACTGGGCCATCACGTTTTGCCAACGTGCTTTGCTTCTCATTCCTGGATGACCGTGATTTACAGACTGTATGCTGCACTTGCTATGGCATTTACATTGATCGGGATGACATCTACCTTCGGCTTGACGAGTATAATCGCTCAGAGGCGCTTTGTGGCACTCACTGATCACCGGGCTTTTCTGCTTGTCCATTGGACTCCTTCTGGAACTGGCCTTTCATTCTCCTTCATTTCATGTTTTGCAACGGATGCAATCAACGGCACTGGACTTGGAACGGGGGGAGCTTTGCCCTCGGCTGTGTTGAGAAAACCAAACGGATGGAAAGCGATTTGGATGAATGTCCGCTGATTGGACTTGAGACCTTGTTTCAGTGCCGTCTACCACCGATAAAAAGGCGTGTGACAGCAATCCACTTTCAGTGATCTTGGTTTTGTTTTCCGCATGTGCACTCGAATTTCAGTTGTGGCTTGTGATGTCAGTTTCGTTTTCACGTTGTTTCATTTTTATGTTTTCCTCGAACATGGCGATGCGCGCGTTTGTTTTAGTTCTGTTTCAGTTTTAGTTTCTTTGCGCACCGCGCCTCCTGCCTTACCCCAACGTTGTAGAACAGGGACGTATATCACTGGGAACGTCCGATTCACAGGTTATCAGCCGTAGGTCTCCCACGGAGCCTACGAGCGGGTAGCTGCGGACCTTACAAGTGATGGCTGAAGAGGACTAGCGATAACGCATTCTCATTTGCTGGACATGCCGCCGCACCAGCTGCCGGCGCGCAGTCAAATTCTTCACAGAGTTTCGATACTGGTGGAAGCGAAACCTCAGAACTGAGACCTAGCTTGTCCAGACGACCTCTGGTTGCCCCGAGAGGAAGATTATTACCGACAATGTATGCAATCGAAGACAGGGACAGTACACCCGGAAAGAGGAGATCATCTACCCGACAATCGTCGCCTCCGATGACTCCGAGGACTAGGGCGAAGCCTACATCTTCGAATCCGCCTTCACCGATTCAGGACGCTACACCATCAGGGGTAGGATCTTTTCAACAAGTGAATGCTCCATCAAGCGGTAGCGACGTCTTCACTGCCTATCAAAGTGAATTGACAGAATACAAGACATCACTGGACAGGGCTACTGAAGAAGAATCTGTACTTCAAGCGCGATTGACTGAGATGACCGCCTATGCTAATCAACAATTCAACCATCTGGAGAACACCACTCACCAAGAGATGACATCGATGGCTCAACAACTTCAGACCCTGAATTCTGAGTTGCTCGCCGCACAACAGGAAGACGAAGGTGCAACTTACAGGATCGAGGAGTTGGAGAGGTATCGAACTATGTCGAATGAAGCAGCATCTCATCTGGAATTTCGATATTCACAACTGAGATCTGAATTCAATGAACAAATGGGACAAGCGAATGCAATCATGGTACATGTGGGTACGGATGCAAATGCTCATATCAATCAACTCAGACTGGAACTGGAGAACGCAGAGATGAGTGCCAAGCAGGAAGCTCTAGCAGTCGGATATGCCAATGATCAAACATGTGCACTTCACGTCGAGATGCTCGAAGTTGCTAACCAAAACCAAACGATGAAGAACGCCATGTCATTGAGCATTAGACGATGGGAAACGGAACTTGATTCTGCTGATGCGAAGAGGGAAGAGATCATGAGAGAATTTCGTAGTGACCTGAGATCTGAGCACAACAGATATGCTGAATGTGAACACCATCTAGCCTTGGAGGAATCACAACTTCAATTACAGTTGGTTCGTAATGAAGGACTACACTCACAACTGGCCACATCTGAAAGCAGATATTCTGAAGAGTTGACCTCTAAAGCGAGTGGGATGCGTGACATGAGGATCATGGAACTACGCTCTGAATTACACATGAAACAAAGCCTTTTGGATCGAATGCAACAACAACTGACTGAATCGAAGAACCAATATCATGAATTTTCATGCCAACAAGCTAGACAGTCGTCTCCAAGTGTCTCTCCATCACATGGGATTTACTATGAGATGTACAATCAAGCACGGTGTGATTATGAAAGGGTCAAGAAATCCAAAGACGACGTCGATACTTTACTGGAAAGGGCCAAAGCTGAAATCACTGACAACGAGACCTTGATCAAGACTTACCAAGATACATATGAGTCACTTGGGAAGAAATATCAAGATGCTTTGGAAAGAATCGACTTCATGAGTACTCATCCGAATACTTCCAGCAATCTATTCGACAATTTACATAATGAAATCAGTGACAGAGACGAAATGATCAATCGACTCAACACCGAAGTTGCAGCCCAGAAGGAATCTATCGGACATGCTCACAGAGATGCCGGTCGTGCTATCAGCAAGCTGAATGACAGACGACTTGTTATCAAGGGAGCCACTGATTACTCTATTCCTGAAAGTCATCTGACGGAGATGCATCATCTCGTCAGCGAGCATCAGACTGAGGTGGAAGAAATGTCGAGCACTATCGCTGCACTGAAGCTCGAGAATCAGGCCGCTTCATCTTCCATGCAGAACATGCAAACAATACTACATGGATCATCCAGTAACGCATTTCCTCGAAACGAGTGTGAAGAGAAGTGTGCCAAGTTGAAAGCGGAACTGGAAGAGATGAAACTAGAGAAGAAATCAGAAGTCCAAGCTCTTCGAGATGATCTGAAGAAGATGGAAGAGCGTAAAGACTACTACAAGAACAATTTCTCTCAGGCAGAAGATCGTGCCAACGATGAGGAACAAGAGCTTCGGGCTGAAGCCGAAGCCTTCGAGAAACTCAGGAATGAGTACAACGCCAACGTCATAGAGTTGGAGAATCTTGAGAAGGACAAGTCAAGATCGTCTGTATCCCTAAGGGAGGCGGAGAAGATCAACCTTCAACCATGGCCCAAAACAACTGAACTTTCTTCTTGGAAGGGAAGTGTCGTTCATGAAGTTTGTGTTGCTAGTGGAGATCGACATTATGAAGATTGGAAAGCATGGCTAGCTCCGTGTCTCGCAGATCAGCCGGACTTGGATGCATTGGCCAAGGCGCCTGAGGTGAGATTTCAATCCATCGACGCCAAGCTCTCCAACGCTTTGAGGAAGGTCATTGATAATGCAGGAGACAAATCCATGCAAGTGAATTATGACATGTCCATGAAGAACCAGATGTATGGGAAGAGTGGAGACTTCATTAAGGGACGGGAGCTGTTTGCGATGATCCTGATAAGCTTCAAGTCACCCGATCACACTGAAGTTCTCTACAACTCTCATCATTTGTATGTGTTCAACTACTACGGAGATGACCAACTCGAAGCCTTCTATAACAAATGGCTTGACATTGTGTACAACATGAAGCATGATGATCGCCCATCTGTACCCAGACCCTCGATGCGATCTATTTTTTAGATCCCGTCTGTGTGAGATCCAAAAAATGGATCTCGGCGATCTATTTCTTCAGCATCTTTTGAAGTGAAAAAACAGCACTTTTGTTGCTGGGTTGGCAAGTAGCTTGCAGAAGATACACATCTATTGCTTCATTTCTTGGCTGGGCAATGCATTGTGCGCTGTTATGACCTGAAACTCCTGGACATCTCTGGTTTTGGCTCCTTTTGCTTGAGCCATGTGTGTGACATGCTTATCATAGCGGTAGCGCTTCTTTGTGCTTGAGCCACTGGCCAGGACTTGGCCAGGAATGTTGTGTAGCGTTTTGCATGAGCCACTTATTATCTGTTGCGTTCTTTGCTTGAGCCATGCGCCTGGCATGTTGCACAGCACTTTTTGCATGAGCCATGTGCCAGGAAATGTGGGTAGCGCTTCTTGCGTGAGCCATTGCAGGGAAAAAGTGCGTAATCCTTTTTGCTTAAGCCATGTGCCGGAGTTTTTTTTTGCGTAGCGCCTTTTGCTTGAGCCATGCGCGTGCTACTTGTGGACGCGCGATACACGAACTTTAACGTTTGGGTTTAACGGAAAAAGAAAGTATCCACATCCACATTTTAGTGGTAGCCTGTTCTCGCATGTGAGTGTGGATGCCGCTAAGTAGCATATATGTATAATAATAATATGTATATATATATATTTATACATCAATATTTCATACAATTGTACACCCCCAACTGTAGGTAATAAAAAGAAACATATGCGAATGTAAATATAGCCCAACTATACACATTTATGTTTGCTGTTTGTGATTGGATCCCGTCATTTGTGGGTGTTTCATGTTTTCAGGTTTGGGACATGTGGCCATATCCATTTTCTGCAAATCCAAGATCTTTTTGGGGAAACTAAATTTGGGGAAGCAAAGCACAACCTTGACAAGGTAATACATCATTGTTTGTGTTGGCCCTTCTGGATTTGTAGGGTTTGAGTGCGAAGGATCCCTCCGTTTTTTTCGCAGCTTCAGAGCAGCATCGCCAATTGTTGGGTTTTGCAAATCACTCGATGGCCACAATTGCTAAACAATCCGACTTGACCGATTTTTGTAAGGCTCCAAGATGTCAATTTGACAGTTATCTTAGTTAAGTTGGTTTGGAAATGTGACCCTAGGTATTTTCGGGGAAATCAAGAAATCAATTTCCCAACTTTGTAAGTTTCCAAACCTGTCAACTGTTTGGGCCATCGATCCAGTTTCAAGCATCTCGCCGCAGACCAGCGCAACTCAGCCGGCACCTCGATTGCTGGTGCATTGTCAAGAGGTTTGCCAAGGTCTGAAAACACCAACAAGTTGTTGTGACAAGGGGCCAGGGATTAGCCAACAAACTAGTTGGATGGTTTGCAGATCCAATGCCAAAGACCACGAATTATACACATAGGTATGTAATGCTATGAACAGTAGTCACACATAAACACGCACACACACATATATATCTATATTTACAGATGTATATATACATACGCAAAACATGAATAAACAAATGAACATATATATATATATATGCATATAGATTTCATTTTTTGAGTTGGGTTTCCCGTTGGTGCCATGAAGATGAAAAGACCGGCTGCTGTCTCCCGGCGTCCCAGCAGTGATGATCTGGATGGTCTTGTAGTAGCATTGAGGCCCTGGGTGAAGCTTGTTTTGAAAACAAAATGGGAATGATGTGGATCATGGTGGCTTTTAGTTTTGTTTCATTTTTCCAGGAACCCACATAATAAAATCAACTGGGGGCCGTGTTCTGCATACAAGGGTCTACGCATGTAAGGACTACCCAGAACTTCGTCAATTACACGGAGGATCGAAATGTAAAGGCCAAAGATGTGGTCAAACTCCAAGGCTATCTTGAGCACCTACGAAGGATTCAGAGCGTCTCCAAAACATGGAACTTTTCATTGAGTACCATCGATAGTGCCTTGCAGATGCTGAACAAGGAGCTTATCTGTTCTTAAATAAACATTTTTTCCAATGCTTGGTTCCTCATAATTGCTTCGGATTCGAGCCCTGTCCCAAGATATCCGGTTTTGAGAACAGACTGAAATTGATTATATAGGGTTACTGTAAGTGGTATTTGGCACCTTTTTTGTAGCGCCATACTTGAACGGGAGATGCCTTTTCAACCCGCACGTAAAAGATCGTGTTTATGTTTATCAGGGTCATATTTGAGCAGGTTTCCCATATTTGATTTTGCTGATTACATATCTGCAGGAGAAAGCCTTGGTTCCCGAAGCTGCCAGTTGGGCAGCGAGTCGGGCATTGAAGCTTTCAGCAATGTTTCGGCATATGGCCCAAGAAGCTCTGAACTGTCGAAAATGGGTTCCAGAGGAACTGGGGTATACAAGATTGCGTTTTAAATTCCATTTGTTTGAATAACCGGTGTTGATTCCAAATATTCAAAATTCCACAATACCCAGTAATTACCAAATTTGAATTCAAATCATCATGGTGTCCCGGCGTCCCCCATATTTTCAATATCAAATTCACATTCATCCGCATTAGTTGCCCGCTGCCAGGACATGCGGACTGGGGATCCAAGCAAACGTCGGAAGTCCGCGCCGGCACAGCCTCCTGGGGATGGTGGTGGCGGGAAAGAATCCAAATCTAGTTCCAGCAGCTCCAGCAATGATTCTAGTGATTCTAGGGAAGAAGGCGACCCCGGAAGAGACGGGCAGGAAGGTGAAGGTGAAGGTGAGGAAGAGGAGAAGGAATCGGATCCCCCAACTGAAGTTACGGACCATGGAGCGCCTGAAACGAGCATGGCAGCCAAAAGCAAACGTAGCCACCAGAGCAAGTCTGATGAAAAGCAGCAGGCAGCAAAGTCGGCAGCACACAATGCAGCACCGCAGCAAGAGACTTCACACCGCCGCAGACCAGGTTACGACGCAAGTCGGCAGACAAGCAGGCACCGGAAGAGCGAGAATCTTCGTCAGCCACTGAAGGGAAACAAGACAAAAATGAAGCAAACAAGCGAGCACTGACCGCAGCTCCAGACAAGCAAACAGATGGAACTGCCCCCCCTGAAACACCCCCTGCCCCGAAGAAGTCAAAAAGATCACAACTAGTCCAAGTGAAGAGATCCAAGTCATCCGACAATTTGGAACCCACGCCGTCCAAAAAACAAAAGAAGGATCCCCCACCATCCCAAAAAAAGACAGCAGCAAAGACAAAGCCGCAAGCAGCCCGCACATCACCTTCAAGCCAAGCATGCGCTGAACCTAGACGTAGAAGCTTACAGGACTTGATGAATGAATCTTACTCGCATTGGGGGCTGTTTCACTAGGATTCTTTGTAAAATTCAGACATTGGACACTACTACAAATAGTACATAAGGATTTGTTTTTATGTGGTTCCCCACCCATGCAGGCATGTGTGGAAAGAATCGCAAGCGTCCATCATTTTCATCCTTCCCCACCATGCCCCAATTTGGGTCTTGTGGGATTGTGGGTTGGGAAGGAATTTCGTGCAGGGTTTGCCAAATCGAAATCTGAAACAGCTGACTATCTGGTTTTATTCTGCGAATTTATACACATCTATATATCTACATGATTTATATACATATAACATTTTACTGTTGTATGTACAGAGTATTTTTTGCCCTTTGACATCTGAACATTTATTCAGACATATGTAGTATACTTGGTCTCATGTTCGTTTTTTTCTTTACCTAAAAAAACGAACCCATGTATGGCGGCGGCCCAGGATGTCTTGGGACCACCCCCGGTGATGGATTCCTTCTTCGACGACCACATAGCCGATTATGGACCACACCCGCCGGAGTCCTTCTTCGAGCACATGATGGCCGAGGAAAGCACTCCAGGACCTCCAGGTGGCTCGTCAAACTGGCTGGTGTCTCCTTCTTATTTAAATATCCAACGAGAAAGCGTGTATAGAGATATACATATAAGATCATGTGTATATATATAGGAAGCATGCGTTGTTTGCACCATTGAGTTCATTGGCCCCATATGATCCATTCTCAAGCCTTTTTCCATCAAGTCCCCATGCAAGAGAGGTTGGTCCATTTTGTGTGGTTCGCTAGCCATATCCTTCGATCATTGACTTCTGACTGGACCCAATCTCATCTTACTGAGACACTACAATTGGAGGTCAGGGCATTGCAGGCTGAGCTTCACCACACTCAACGGATCTTAGCCGGGTACAGTGAAGTTCTTGCCAGAGCTCAGGACCAACGACCCTCTACCATTTGGGGACAACTCTTGTTTTTCTCATTCACAAGCTTGTTAGGATTGACAGTGATTTGGTGGCTGATCAAGACACAGCGTGGTCCTGTCCAGACATCCTTGGTGAGCATAGGTGACACCGTTGAAGCCAGTGACTCCGAGTCAGACACAGCCCTCGCCCCAGTTCAACCAGCGAGGGCGGCTGTGCCAACTCGTCCCTGGGGCGGGGCAGGGCCACCAGAGGATTATGAATGATGATGGGAAGACCTTAGACATAGCAGATCCACAGGTGCTTGTAAGATTTGCAGCAGATCCAAACTTCGAATGGCATCATCGGATTTTGTTAGTCCGTCTCTCGCCCGGGAGGTGGGTCGGGCTGTCACCCGACCATGAGTTGGAGCCCGTAGATTTGACCACCACTCGGCACGTGGTACTAGGTCGTCGCGAAGACTTCCCTGGCCACCTGGCGGCTGATACATATGCCTTCGATCCCATCCCCAGGGCGGACCTTGAAAGACTCCGCCGCAGAGCCAACACAATGGCCATGGTCCTGGGAGACCAAGTCATTGCCGATGTGGCCGCCCGTGTCTGGGTCTTTTCAGATGCAGACTCTGACAGACTTGGTAACAGGGTGGCCGACGACCAGTTGAGCAATGCTGTGACCATTGGAGCACGAGGTCTGGTGGATGTGGGGGACAAGGTTGAGGCCATTGAAGAGAGAGATGAAAGCGCAGTGTCTGGCTACAAAGACTCCAAGCGAGCTGGGCATGGAGATTTGCGCACCATAGGACACCATGAGGACAGCCAGAAGCGCAGATACATCATCTTTGCCGACGCAGTTGCACTCTTCCGGGAAACCAAATTCACTGACTGGGGCTTCAGTGGTCCTAGAGCAGCAAAGGAATTCCTGAATGCAATCAATGAGGGGGCTGCAGCTGACCTGACTGGCTACCATCTGCAATGGTTGAAGCATAGTGGCGTGAATACTCACACTGCAGCTGCACATGAGCACAAGAACTTGATAGAGATGCTGAGATTGGCAATATGCAGGGACCAGTTGGATGTCACAAACATCATGGCTTTCGAGTTGGTGGTTAGGCGGCTTGTACAAATAGAGTTGGCAGTCGCAAGGTCTCCCAGCAGTCCGGACTATCAAAACCTTGACATCCTCATGGAATCCACCATCACAGATGGCGGTTCAGCAGCCACCAAGCAGTTGGACAATTGGCTCACCGAAAGACTCAAGGAGAGAGCCAACATCCAGAAACAATCCAGGCTGGCAAGGGAAGAAGCGTCACATGCCTCCAGAGGCAGCAAGGACAAGGGTGAGGAGGGCAAGGGATGGAAGAAGAACAAGAAGAGCTCTAATGCCGCCGGCGGACAGTCCGCTGGCGTTGAGACTTAGCTCAACAGTTTTCACCTGGGCATCGTTTTGCTGCCAGCATGCTCAGGGTGGACCATTCGGGCGGCCAGCACTTCGCCAAGTACAGAACGCACGGCGATCCCTTTCCATTGCCACCAGCCTGGGTTGAACGTGGGTTGGATGACTCTGGAATTGTTTTCCCTCAGCGGGGACGTTGGGCAGCGCACGCGCTGAACTGCCTCACTTTGCAAGATCCGAATTCAGATTTTGATCATCTTTTGAGCGGGCTGGAACCAAACTCCACGCAGAAGCTTGTGGCCTCTCACATACAGGAATCCCTGCACTTGGCAGGTGAACCCCCCGGAGGCCTTGACGGTGCATCTGCACTGAATGAGCCCTGTTCCAGCAAAGACCTCTACCAGGAGGAGCCAAAGAATCCCGCTGCCTATGACTTCAAAAAGGTGAAAGTGCTCCACTCCAAGCTTTACCCCAAAAGTCTGGAATCGGTCCTGCCGCAGCACGCAGCCTCGCTTGTGAAAAGAGCAGCTACAATGATTGAAAAGTCAGCCAAGCAAGTCGCTGAAGACGGGCCTTGCCGGATCAAACCCTACTGGGATCCTGCTCTGAGGCGCTCCCCAAAGGCGCTGAAGAAGTTGATGGTGACATTGGCGAACCAAGGGCTCATCACATTTCGAACCAAGGTCAAAGAGAAGATTGGCATCTTTTTTGTGAAAAAGAAGACGCCCGAGTGGATCAGGATGGTGATTGACGCAAGGCGTGTCAACGCTATGCACCAATCACCACCTTGCACTCGGCTTGCAACACCCAGGTCCTATTTGGACCTGCAGCTTCAGGAGGGACAAGGTGGAGAACCTGCTGCCTATGGGATTGAAGCGGATGTCAATGACTGCTTCTACAACTTTTTCTCTGAAACAGTGGCATCATGGTTTGGCATTGATTGTCCTCTCACAGTAGCAGAATGGGTGGGGCTGGGATGGAACAGATGTCAATTTTTTTCTGACGACATGGACAGGCATTTTACACCATCTGACGATTTGGTTGTCTATCCCGTTTTTAGGGGACTATGCATGGCGTGGTCATGGGCGCTTTACTTCGCACAGGAACAGTTTCTCATATTGTTGCTGGGAGGATCCCCCGGCCTCTGCATGAGATTCGAGACCGACAAGCTGCTCCTTGCATTGAGACACAGCGGGTGGTTACAGGTGTTTATGTTGATAATATTTCAATCATTGGCAAGACATGGCAAGACCATGGATGAGACTAGGAGAGCCGCTTGCAGGGTAGAAAAGGCATTCCATGATTTGAATATTCCACTGACCTGGTCGTCTAATGATCCTTCTCCTGTTTTTGAAACTGTTGGCATTTGCTTGGATTTCAAACAGTGCATTGCATACAACAAGTCAAGACGGCTGTGGAGGGCGTTCTTGGCTGGGCGTGAACTGCTGCGACGCAACGTCGTATCAGTGAAATTGTTGGAAATCTGGCTAGGGCACATGACATCCATTTTCATGCTGGCTCCCCATGGATTATCATGCTTTTTTCACATTTACAAATTTGTGACCCTGCATCGCGGAAAGCGAGCGAAGATGTGGAAGACCGTCAGAGCCGAAATCAGATTGGCTTTGGGGGTCATGTGGTTGACTCGCACCAGCATCAAATTCAATCCTATCCACCAACTTGATGCGGGCGACTCATCTTCCAATGCCTTTGCCCTGCTGACCACTTGGGCAACCACGGCCGAGCTCAAAGACACATGCAAATGGAGAGAGGCATGGCGGTTTCGACCTTTTCCGGAATCCCTGATAGATGCTGCTGACAACGGTCGGGAAGAAGTGCTGAGAGTGCTGCGAACCCTGTGCCCAGAGGTTCCAGGGGAGGCAGTGCCTGACAATGAGCTCAAACCTGCGGCGCCTTTTGGTGCTGGGCTTCTTGGCCAATATGCCGACTGGATTGTCCACAGCAAGGATCCCACTAGCTGGCTGCGAACCAGCGCAGTCCGCAGCCAGTTGCGGGCAACTCGACAAAAGAGGGTAGAGGTGGATGTTCCTGCGCTGGTTCGTCCTATCGACCCAAGACTGGTGCAAATGGAGCGCTTTTCACTTTTATGGAGGAAGAGGTGGAGGGATAGTGGGAACCACATCAACGTCAAAGAGGCGATGGTGGCACTCAGTTCGCTCAGGCGTACGGCCAGAGTAGGCAGTTTGCACGGGCGGTTAAAAGTGACACTGTGTGACAACTTGGCAGCTCTTTGTGCTTTCGAAAGGGGGAGATCATCATCATTCCATCTCAACAGGGTTTGTCAGATGGCTGCGGCTTATCAGTTTGCAGCTAGATTGAGGTGGAGGCTTAGGCATATTGAGACAGATCGAAATCCAGCAGACAGAGACTCAAGATTTACAGAACATGCAACCAAGAAGCGCAACCTGGGCCAGGAAATGCGGAAGCCTGTTGCCAAAGATGTCATGGAGGCTGTCCCTCGTCTTGACTGTGCGGGGGGTGAAGCCGGGGCCCAGTGCCCGACAAGCGACAGAGCGACTGCATCATCCTCTTCTAGATGTTCTTCTTGGAAGGGTATGTGTTTGGAAATATTTTGTGGTACAGCACGGCTTACACATGCAATATCACTACAGGGCATGGCAGCTTTCACGGGTATTGACAATATTAGTGGAGCGCATCACGATATCCGGCGTAGACAGACTCAAACAATTATCCTCAGTTGGTTGAAATCTGGCCGTATCTCATACGTACACCTAGGTACTCCCTGTACGGTGTTCAGTAGGGCTCAGCATTTTATTCGTAACCACTTGAGGGCTCGGGAGAGAGAGCGTGTGGGTCTTGAGATGGCTATGTTCAGTGCAGAGGTCATCGCGGTCTGCAACAGATATGGTGTCAAGTGGTCCTTAGAGAACCCGCGTAGTTCAAGGCTGTTCGATTTACCCTTCATTCAACGGTACCTAAGGGATGAACATGTATGTCACGTCAAGTTGGATTTTTGCATGTACGGTGAAAAGTTCAAGGAACCTACAACTATATATTCCAATTTTCCTGGTCTGGTTACTTTGAGTCGCAATTGCAATCATCGCAAGCATTCTATTATCCTGAAAGGGTCCGAACGCATACAGGTTGGTGGTCGCAAGCTTTCTCAACCCCGAACACGTAATGCGGGCGCATACCCTTTTCAGCTAGTGGATGTTTGGGCACAAGCAGTTTCGTCCATTGTTTGTAAAGCAACAAGGGATACAAATGTAGCCAGTCAACAGCTCGAGCATGAGCTCCAGCGTCGATACCAGGAGGGCTGTTCAACAACAAAACAGATTCAAGGTGCTGACAGCACCCACCACTGGTTACACAAGTTCAGTCAAGAGATTGGGGACCCCTTCCGGTTTGCAGTCTTCGGGCAGCACACCCACAAAGAGAAAAAGGACAGAGAGCTCAGATGGCAAAAGTGCTGCCAACAAAAGACTTTCGACCCCAGCAAATTCATTGAGGGCATCACTGCCACGCCACTTGCAGCTCCGAGCCTTGAAGGTCAAAGACCCAACGCTGAACAGATACAATGAACGCGTTTTGGCGTTCGAAGCATACTGCCGGAACAAACGGATTACCTTGTCTAGCCGTGACAAAGTTGACAAGGGCCTGGCTGAATTTTTTGCTGATCTGTTAGATGAAGGTTGCTCTTATAATGATGCTTCATATGCCTTATTTGGATATATTTTGCTCCGGAGTGACGAAGAGGTGCCCGAGCGAATGCTCTACCCTCGGGCTCGTCAAGCGCTGAAAGGGTGGAACGCCAGATATCCCCAGTCGTCATGGTCCGGTGCTGATCCTTTGATTTGGTATTTGTTGGCTGATAAAATCGCTGAGAATAATCCTCCTATGGCTGCCGCTTTGCTTTTACAGTTGGACACCTATGCCAGACCTTCTGAAATCATTTTTCTGAAATATGGTGATGTCGTTCGGCCTTCTTCAAAGCATTGCCGTTTCTGGGGTCTTATTTTTGGCAACTCAGAATTTTTGGAAACAACGAAAACTGGAACTCAAGATGACACGGTGCTTTTGAATTCCACAGATAGGAGCTTTGCGTGTAATGTCTTGAAAGCAGTGGTGACCAAGCGCGCATCTGCTACCCAACGGTTGTTCCCTGACCTTACATTAGATCAGTACGAAAAGGCCATGCAGAAAGCCAAGTGTGAAGTCGGTCTCGGAAAGTTTGACTTTACCCCACATTCTGTCCGGCACTCGGGGCCGTCAGCTGACTTCCTGTCGAAGACCAGAAACGCAGCTGAGATCCAAGCCCGCGGTCGTTGGCGAGCTGCTAAGTCAATCCAACGATACCTAAAACCCGGACAAATGATGGCAAAAATGAACAAGATCCCTGCAGCAATTTGGGAGAAAGCAAAAGCCGCTTTACCGCTTGTGCTCCGAAAGATTTCTAGATATTATGGGGCTTCCGCCCGATGACAACAACTTCTTTTTGGGGCATGGGCACAAAGTCGAGATGATTACTGCTGCATTTGATTTTTGATTGTTTTTTTGGATGGCTGATTCATTTGACTCTCACTATCTTTGAAGTTAGCGACTGCAACGACTACATCATCTCTTGGTCGAGAAGATAAGTGCTGCTGCATTTGCTTTTTCACTTTTGGATGGCGTGATTTGACTGAATCTCACTGTCTTGGAAGTTATCGATTGCAACAACTACATCATCTCTTGAAAGTGGTTTCTACCTTAGCTGTGAACATCACAGCGGAGTCGTATACTTTTGGAAGCTCAAAAGTCTGCATCGGGTTGGGCCAGTTTGCGACTCAGATGTGTCGTGCCAATAGGAAGCATGCGTTGTTTGCACCATTGAGTTCATTGGCCCCATATGATCCATTCTCAAGCCTTTTCCCTCCGACCTGCCCCTTGCACCACCGGGCACAAAGTCGAGATGATTACTGCTGCATTTGATTTTTGATTGTTTTTTTGGATGGCTGATTCATTTGACTCTCACTATCTTTGAAGTTAGCGACTGCAACGACTACATCATCTCTTGGTCGAGAAGATAAGTGCTGCTGCATTTGCTTTTTCACTTTTGGATGGCGTGATTTGACTGAATCTCACTGTCTTGGAAGTTATCGATTGCAACAACTACATCATCTCTTGAAAGTGGTTTCTTTGGATGGCTGATTCATTTGACTCTCACTATCTTTGAAGTTAGCGACTGCAACGACTACATCATCTCTTGGTCGAGAAGATAAGTGCTGCTGCATTTGCTTTTTCACTTTTGGATGGCGTGATTTGACTGAATCTCACCGTCTTGGAAGTTATCGATTGCAACAACTACATCATCTCTTGAAAGTGGTTTCTACCTTAGCTGTGAACATGTGAACATCACAGCGGAGTCGTATACTTTTGGAAGCTCAAAAGTCTGCATCGGGTTGGGCCAGTTTGCGACTCAGATGTGTCGTGCCAATATATATCTCTCTCTCTACATTTATATATATATATATTATTTATTTATATCTTGTGAAGAAAGTTTTCACACGCACGCTAGGTCATTGCCATGAACTTCTACGTATCAATCTTGGCTCGATGTCAGTGAGACCAATCCCTTTTTAAAAAAACACAGCTCTACCGCTGCCCCAACACCTCCTGCCACATACCAAAGCATGGTTGGATATGTTTAGATTGTTTTTGCCATCAGGATCTTATTTGAAGATGTTTTCGTAGCTGATAAATGCCTTGCCCACTTCTGCTCAGGGAGCCCGGCTGGTGACGAACGTCAAGTTCAACCGCAGATCCTGCCCACAGCTCCCAGCACAGGTAGCAAACCGAAGGAGTTTGAGATGGGATGGGACGAAACTCTCTTCCGACCATGGCGAAAGGAGATTCTATCAGCTAATCAGAGAGGCCCTATTGAACTTGGCCTTTCACCCACCTATGACCCGAATGCAGACCCTGATGCTCCCATAGTCTGCAAGTTCAGGGATGGAACGTCCCATGAAGTGGCTCACATCACCATGGTTCCTCACCATGCATTTGTACAATCTAACAATGATCTTTTCCTATTACCGTCACATCTTAGCTTGTACATATGGGATTGAGATGTGTGCAACATTGACCCTCTAAAGGAGTCATTGGTTTTCAGTTTGAACCCCTGTGTTGGTGAGTTAGTTTTTAAGCAATGTGCTGATTAAAAAAAAACAGTTTTTTCTTATCAAATTGATGGTCTAATGTCGGGTCTTCGCTCAGGCTGATTTGGGGGAAAGAACCGGCAAGAAGCGCAGCACCGGTGCCTCTGCACCGCGCGTTGGGGCTTCTCCTGATGGCGAGGCTGCGCAGGACACTGATTGGCTTTCCAAGCATCCAGATTTGGAGGACTTATGGGCTGATGCATATGTTGAAGATGAGAAGCTAGGCGCATTGAAAGCATCCCTCAAATCCCAAAAGGGTAGAAATTCCATCGCGTCCTTGCAGTTCAAGCCAAAAGGGGGTACCACATTTTCCCAAAAGCTTCAAGTGGTGGTCAAGCCACCAGAAATTTGTGGTGTGGATGCGATGGCGATCCTCAAAGTCATCATGAGTCTAGTCCTTGATGGTGACAACGACATCAACGATCTTATGGGCATACGCAACAAATTGGTGGACCTGCATACATCAGGCAAATTCTTGAACTATTTGTATGAAACTTGGGAAGAGAAAACCACTATGCACACTGCATACGAAAAGCGCTTGGAGATGGCAAAGGATTCTGGGTCAGGCTGGGTCCTACGGGTCTTGCGGGCCATGTCCGGCATCCCCCCTATACAATTTAAAGATGATATAGGTGGGGTCTTCCTTAGCTTGTCATGTTGGTGTCAAGTCCAGAAATAGTGAGGAATCTATTTCAACGGTTTGTTTTGATTTATGGGTTTGAAACTGATATCATCCCATTCTGGGCCCACGTCTTGACCCACAGATTTCAAATCATCAAATGCAACTAAGCCCACAACAGGTTTTTAACACTTCAAGGGGTTGGGAAGTGCTTTGTTTTTGTGATCCTCTCCTGGGTTAATTCCTTGACCCCCTTCCGGGGCAAACACGCTATAAATGTTCCAAGTAGTGCCTGCGTATCCACCTACCAAAGCAATTTCATCTTGACAGGTATGCTTTGAGAAAATGTGTTTTTGGCCATGTCCTAGAACCTCCTCTAGAACAAGCCAGAAACCAGTTAGGTTTCCTATGGATGCATGCCCCAAGCTCCCACTTGCTGTGGCTGGCCTCTGCAATTCAGGCGGCGACGTGGCGACGGAAGATGTCAAGGGCAAGCGACCTGGAGATGAGCGCGGTCGTGGCTCTACGGATTGAGAGACTCCGGGATTGGGTCAGATTTTGTTCGAGCATAGCCGAGCTACCACCATAAGATTTTGCGTCCCAAATCCTCTATTCCGATTTTTTCACAACACAATGTTGATTGTCTCTTGCATTGTCAAAGGGGTGCTATGCTTGGCAATGGAATTTTTCGAGATCGCATACGTGGAAACATTTGGAATCACATGCTACGGAAAAAAATCAAAGACCGTCACAACTGCTTCGGAAAGAGATCTACCTTCAATCGATCCTGCAAGGTGGTGGCCCCTGTTTCCTCCCCTCCTCTACATTGACCCCCTCTTTCTTTGTAACTTCTATTTTCTATATGTATACATCTCTAAAAAATCACCATGTCCTTCTCCAGACTTGTTCTGATCTGAGAATCAAACTCTTGGCACGATACCTTGTGGGCCACAAGCCTGTCAAGAAAGGCGGGTTTTGGGGACCACTGGACTAGCTAAGCTGTGGGAACCCAAATTGCAAAAAGTCATTTCATGAACTACCTTTTGGGCATCCATTTCGGGAGCGTTACGGCTTCCATTTTGGGAGCGTTATTGCTTCCATTTTGGGAGCGTTACCGCTTCCATTTTGGGAGCGTTACGGCTCCATTTTGGGGTTCACTATTTTGGGATGTTTTCCCTAAATTGATTCTTCTCAACCAACCCCCAAAAAATTAACAACGCACAAGCAAAAAACAAACTCAACCGAAATTGTTTTGGTTGAGGCTTCTTGATGAGGCCCTAAAGCTTTCACCAAATTTCACTGGACTTTGAAGAGTGCGTTACGAAGGTTGTGAAACATGCCAAAGCCACCGTTTGAAGTTAAGCAAGGCCCAAAGCGGTCAGGCTTCAAAAAAGATTCTGTAATTCCTATACTTCATGATTCTGTACTGCCACTTCTTTCTTGTCCTCCCTGCCTCTTCCCCTCACGCTCTTATCTTCTTTCTTTGGGCCCACATCCTTGCAGGAACGGGTAGGTACAGCAACTGGGCTGGCTTCAAACTTGAACCCCAGCAAGTTAGAAAAGCATGAATTTTAATACTTAAGAAAACATAGTACTTGGGGGGCTTGGTGGGGTCCAAGTTTGAAGGCTAGCCGATGGCAAATAGCCATATTCCATATCGTGGAGGGGAGTCGGGGGCCCATGTGGGTCATGTGATGTCAAGGACATCCAATTTCTTTGGAAAAATGCTGCTTGACTTTAGGTAGATCTATGGTGGTTATTATGGGTTTGGCACCCGTATGCAAACTTATGAGGGCCTATTTGATTACCTTGTTACCTGGGACAAAATTGGATCCCTTATCTGGGACAAAATTGGATCCCCTTCGGATATGGATCTACGGTGCCGTAGCCGGGGCAGTGAAATATCCAACTATGATATTTTTGACAGTTTTGATTAAAACCATCAAAAAACATAGCGATGAGGGGTCGATGAGCCCATAGCGATGAGCATCCGATGAGCCCCCCTGATTTACCCCAAACTGGCTTACTTGGAAAGAATTGGATGGACCGATGAGCCCCCAAATTTTTTTAGCACGGATGGCGATGAGGGGGTCCGGCCATATAACCGATGAGCATGTGATGAGCCTATACCAAAAAAATAGTTTTCCGAAAGCTTGGAATGAATTGAAGTGGGCGATGAGCCCCCCCCTGTTCCCTGAACTCGGGTCCAATGAGGGTCCGATGAGGGGTACACCTTGCCAACCAACGCTCTCAGATCAAAGCTTTTTGGGGTTACGATTGCCTACGCTCGCCCCGTGCCCAATCCTGATGAGGAAGACACTCAGCAGGCCTGCATGGGAGAGTTTTCAAAGTGCTGCTCAAAAATCAACTTGTTTAATGGTATGGTGTCGTAACAAACATTTTTTTTGTGTAGAGTTTTGTTTTTGTTTTTCCCCACCTGCCAGGTGAGGGTTGTTAGATTTTATGTCAGTTGCCTCCTCCTCCTCCTCCTTCTCCTCCTTCTCCTCCTCCTCCTCTCCTCCTCCTCCTCTCCTCCTCGTCCTCCTCGTCGTCCTTGTCGTCCTCGTCGTCCTCGTCGTCCTCGTCGTCCTCGTCGTCCTCGTCGTCCTCGTCGTCCTCGTCGTCCTCGTCCAACTGCGACCCGCGATCCACAGTGTTCTCTGCCGGACCTCAGCCCCGACCATCCACGCCCAGTGTTCCCTGCCGGACCTCAACCACGACCAGCCACGCCCAGTGTTCCCTGCCGGACCTCAACCACGACCATCCACGCCCAGTGTTCCCTGCCGGACCTCAACCGCGAGTATCCACGCCAAGTGTTCCCTGCCGGACCTCATGTAGGAAGATATGGGACAAAGAATGTGCAGAAGAAAGTTAGAAAGAATGTCAGAAAGAATGTCAGAAGATATGCCAGAAGATATGCCAGATAGAATGCCAAATAGAATGCCAGATAGAATGCCAGATAGAATGCCAGAAGATATGTCAGAATATATGCCAGAAGATATGCCAGATAGAATGCCAGATAATATGCCAGAAGATATGCCAGATAGAATGCCAGAAGATTTGCCAGATAGAATGCCAGAAAATATGCCAGAAGATATGCCAGATAGATATCTCAGAAGATATGCCAGAAGATATGCCAGAAGATATGCCAGAAGATATGTCAGAATATATGCCAGAAGATATGTCAGATAGAATGCCAGAAGATATGTCAGAATATATGCCAGAAGATATGCCAGATAGAATGCCAGATTGAATGCCAGAAGATATGTCAGATAGAGTGCCAGAAGATATGCCAGATAGAATGCCAGAAGATTTGCCAGATAGAATGCCAGAAGATATGCCAGAAGATATGCCAGATCATATGCCAGAAGATATGCCAGATAGAATGCCAAATAGAATGTCAGAAGATATGTCAGATAGAATGCCAGAAGATTTGCCAGTAAGAAAATGTATAAATGTCATGGTGGGGATCACACGAAGTAAAGTAATTCTCTCATTATATTTTCCCGTAAGGTTGAGGAGACCGCTCCAAGTGATCCACCTGCCCGAGAACCAGTTCCGCCGACGGGACCCAATGTGACTGGACCTAGTGACGATAGGAAACCTAGTGTGCAAAGGGCCAAGGTTCAGTACGCCAAGTTCCACAACGTGTCCGTGGGTGATGTTACTGAAGAGATGCTGGTTGAGAGTCCTGAAGGATTAGAAGGTTGGGCGTGTTACGGCCTTGATTGCAAGGCGCGTGGACCTATGGGGAATGCCATGTATCGCCAACTGAAAAAAGATCCTGGGGCCCAAGAATGCTACAAGTGGCTCTTTGACGATCTGAAAAAAAAGTTCAGGCAGTCATGGGCCATGGACAGGTCTTTCGACACAGTGCCCAAAAAGAGGATCAAGACCATCAGCACGAAGGTGAAACAAGAGGAGATTGGGGTGTGGAAAAGTGAGCTTCAACTACAGCAGCATTTCGGTGGTGTCGATCAACCGGAAGCACAGCGCCAGGCTTCGAACTACATCAAGAACTGCAGAAAGTGGGAGGACTGGGGGTTGTCATTTTTGCTCATCTTCTGCTATTTGTTGAAGTTTGACACACACACAATACAAATGCATATTTATCTGTAACATATGCAACTACATAGCTACATATCTATTATTTGTCCATCCATCCATCCATTCAGTCGTCCATCCATCCATCTATCTATTTATCAATGTATATATATATATATGCATATATATATATATACCGTTAAAAACAAAGTTAGAATGCGGTTTTGGCTTCGCGTGATGGTGGCCCGTTTGGCCCCCCCCCCCACGGCAGTCGCATTCTAACTGAGGAAACACCTGTAAATATGCAGAAACACAGTTAGAATGCGGCGCCAAAATTGGTAAGAAAATGTAAGTTTTGACTGGTATTTTACAGGCGAAGTACAGTTAGAATGCCTCCTCCTTTTCTTCTATATTGTTCCTTGCCCTTCCTTTTCTTTTATGTCTTTTTCATTGATCTATATATGCTGTAGTTTCCGGGGGGCATTTTATCTGTTGTTTTTCTACTGTAGCCACATTTCTGACCCGCAGGGAACCTGGAGTGCCCTTGTCTCTTTTCCGATCTTATCCGCTTCCCTTTCCTTGTCCTTTTGTTTCTATAATGTTCCTTTCCCTTCCTTTTCTTCTATGTCTGTATTCATTGATCTATACGTGCTGTAGTTTCCGTAGGCATTCTATCTGTTGTTTTCCCTGCTGTAGCCATATGTTTCTGACCCGCAGGGAACCTGGAGTGCCCTTGTCTCTTTTCCGACCTTATCCTCTTCCCTTTTCTCCTCCTTTTCTTCTATATTGTTCCTTACCCTTCCTTTTCTTATATGTCTTTTTCATTGATCTATATCTGCTGTAGTTTCCGGGGAAGCATTCTATCTGTTGTTTTCCCTGTTGTAGCCATATGTTTCTGACCCGCAGGGAACCTGGAGTGCCCTTGTCTCTTTTCCGATCTTATCCTCTTCCCTTTCCTCCTCCTTTTCTTTTTCATTGTTCCTTAATTACTCTTCCTTGTCTTCTATCTTTTTCATTGATCTATATCTGCTGTAGTTTCCGGGGAGGCATTCTATCTGTTGTTTTCCCTGCTGTAGCCATATGTTTCTGACCCGCAGGGAACCTGGAGTGCCCTTGTCTCTTTTCCGATCTTATCCTCTTCCCTTTTCTCCTCCTTTTCCTCTATATTGTTCCTTACCCTTCCCTTTCTTCTATGCCTTTTTCATTGACCCATATCTGCTGTAGTTTCCGGGGAGGCATTCTATCTGTTGTTTTCGCCACTGTAGCCATATGTTTTTGACCCGCAGGGAACCTGGAATGCCCTTGTCATGCCCTTGTCATGCCCTTGTCTCTTTTCCGACCTTATCCTCTTCCCTTTTCTCGTCCTTTTCTTCTATATTGTTCCTTACCCTTCCTTTATTTTTTCTTCTATGTCTTTTTCATTGATCTATATCTGCTGTAGTTTCCTGGGAGGCATTCTAGTCTATCCGTTGTTTTCCGCACTGTAGCCATATGTTTCTGACCCGCAGGGAACCTGGAGTGCCCTTGCCTTGTCTCTTTTCCGACCTTATCCTCTTCCCTTTTCTCCTCCTTTTCTTGTATATTGTTACTTACATTTACTTACCCTTCCTTTTCTTCTATGTCTTTTTCATTGATCTATATCTGCTGTAGTTTCCGGGGAGGCATTCTATCTGTTGTTTTCCCTGCTGTAGCCATATGTTTCTGACCCGCAGGGAACCTGGAGTGCCCTGTCTCTTTTCCGATCTTATCTCTTCCCTTTTCTCCTCCTTTTCTTCTATATTGTTCCTTACCCTTCCTTTTCTTCTATGTCTTTTCATTGATCTATATCTGCTGTAGTTTCCGGGGAGGCATTTATCTGTTGTTTTCCCCACTGTAGCCATATGTTTCTGACCCGCAGGGAACCTGGAGTGCCCTTGTCTCTTTTCCGACCTTATCCTCTTCCCTTTTCTCCTCCTTTTCTTCTATATTGTTCCTTACCTTTCCTTTTCTTCTATGTCTTTTTCATTGATCTATATCTGCTGTAGTTTCCGGGGAGGCATTCTACCTGTTGTTTTCCCCACTGTGGCCATATGTTTCTGACCCGCAGGGAACCTGGAGTGCCCTTGTCTCTTTTCCGATCTTATCCTCTTCCCTTTTCTCCTCCTTTTCTTCTATATTGTTCCTTACCCTTCCTTTTCTTCTATGCCTTTTTCATTGATCTATATCTGCTGTAGTTTCCGGGGAGGCATTCTATCTGTTGTTTTCCCTGCTGTAGCCACATGTTTCTGACCCGCAGGGAACCTGGAGTGCCCTTGTCTCTTTTCCGATCTTATCCTCTTCCCTTTTCTCCTCCTTTTCCTCTATATTGTTACTTACCCTTCCTTTTCTTCTATGTCTTTTTCATTGATCTATACCTGCTCTTGTTTCCGGGGAGGCATTCTATCTGTTGTTTTCCCCACTGTAGCCATATGTTTCTGACCCGCAGGGAACCTGGAGTGCCCTTGTCTCTTTTCCGACCTTATCCTCTTCCCTTTTCTCCTCCTTTTCTTCTATATTGTTCCTTACCCTTCCTTTTCTTCTATGTCTTTTTCATTGATCTATATCTGCTGTAGTTTCCGGGGAGGCATTCTATCTGTTGTTTTCCGCACTGTAGCCATATGTTTCTGACCCGCATGGAACCTGGAGTGCCCTTGTCTCTTTTCCGACCTTATCCTCTTCCCTTTTCTCCTCCTTTTCTTCTATATAGTTCCTTACCCTTCCTTTTCTTCTATGTTTTCTTCATTGACCTATATCTGCTGCTGTTTCCGGGGAGGCATTCTATCTGCTGATTATCTGCTGTTTTCCCCACTGTAGCCATATGTTTCTGACCCGCAGGGAACCTGGAGTGCCCTTGTCTCTTTTCCGACCTTATCCTCTTCCCTTTTCTCCTCCTTTTCTTCTATATTGTTCCTTACCCTTCCTTTTCTTATGTCTTTTTCATGGATCTATATCTGCTGTAGTTTCCCGGGAGGCATTCTATTTGTTGTTTTCCCCGCTGTAGCTATATGTTTCTGACCCGCAGGGAACCTGGAGTGCCCTTGTCTCTTTTCCGATCTTATCCTCTTCCCTTTTCTCCTCCTTTTCTTCTATATTGTTCCTTACCCTTCCTTTTCTTATGTCTTTTTCATTGATCTATATCTGCTGTAGTTTCCGGGGAGGCATTCTATCTGTTGTTTTCCCCTTTGTAGCCTTATGTTTCTGACCCGCAGGGAACCTGGAGTGCCCTTGTCTCTTTTCCGACCTTATCCTCTTCCCTTTTCTCCTCCTTTTCTTCTATATTGTTCCTTACCCTTCCTTTTCTTCTATGTCTTTTTCATTGATCTATATCTGCTGTAGTTTCCGGGGAGGCATTCTATCTGTTGTTTTCGCCGCTGTAGCCATATGTTTCTGACCCGCAGGGAACCTGGAGTGCCCCTGTCTCTTTTCCGATCTTATCCTCTTCCCTTTCCTCCTCCTTTTCTTTTTCATTGTTCCTTAATTACTCTTCCTTGTCTTCTATCTTTTTCATTGATCTATATCTGCTGTAGTTTCCGGGGAGGCATTCTATCTGCTGTTTTCCCCACTGTAGCCATATGTTTCTGACCCGCAGGGAACCTGGAGTGCCCTTGTCTCTTTTCCGACCTTATCCTTTTCCCTTTTCTCCTCCTTTTCTTCTATATTGTTCCTTACCCTTCCTCTTTTTCTATGTCTTTTTCGTTGATCTATATCTGCTGTAGTTTCCGGGGAGGCATTCTATCTGTTGTTTTCCCTGCTGTAGCCATATGTTTCTGACCCGCAGGGAACATGGAGTGCCCTTGTCTCTTTTCCGATCTTATCCTCTTCCCTTTTCTCCTCCTTTTCTTCTAT